ATTCACAAAATTGAGATGATTCAACAGCAAAAAGTGGGAACACATGGGTTTCGTCTCTCAGAACCCTTTCTTTTTTCTGATTTTTACCAGATTGAACATTCGACTCTTGGTGTAAAAAAAAAAAAAAAGAAAGAAGAATGATAATTTCAATCCTCGCGCTGATTTTCGAAACACATCTTCCAAAGAATATGAAAATGCTTGGTGTTTAAAGTGCATTGACTTTTGGTTCTCATGATGTTAAACAACTTTCGGATTGGCCCCACGTTTTTATCTGTCCGAAATGGATTCTTGAACTTTGATAAGAGCACTGTGTGAGTGTGTGTCAGAAAAAAGAGAACAAGGAACAGCTTCAGACTTCAAGCCGTAGACTGAGAAAGGCTTTCATTTCCGGTGTTTTGAAGATCGAATGTGTTTTTTATTGAATTCCTCTGGGAAATTAGGCTTTAATTTGTTTTTTTTAGCACCTTACACAATCAATTTTGGGAATAAATTAGTTGATCTAGTTTTTTTATGGCGATATTCCCGTATTTAAAAAAAGCGTTCCATGTCATCTAAAAGCTTTTTCAATTGTCTCAAGAATGAATTAAATTTTCTGATTTTCTCAATTCATGTGCTATACAAAATTACTGACGTCAAAATATATGTTGTGGTGCTTTGTGGTCTTTTGAATTATTCTCGACGATGAATGCATTTCTTTTTTGTTCTTTAAAGTTTAAACGCCTCGTCAGCATTAAAATAAATATGCGGTATCATATTTTAGAATTTTGAATCTCTGGATTTTCCGATTTTCAAAAATTTGATTTTGAATACAGCAGAGTCAGTTCAAACCGTTTGAGTGGCGTTAATGCATTTCGAGTTTGTGAAATATGATCGTCGTTGCCTCTTGACAAATTATAAGTATAATTTCTTGAGAATCATTCGAATTTCGATTTCAAATTTTTGTAATTTCCAAAATCGCGTGTATTTTTTGTGACGGGTACAGTAATTTTTTTTTCTATCAGCGCAAACCTCTGAAGAACTGTATCCGAAGCTTGAATAAATGGATTGAAATTGATTAAATTTCAAGTCAAAATTTCGATTATGAGAATATGTGGCGCATATTGTTCCAATAAAGAATTCTCATTTAAATCCTGGTTGAAATTTTTTTTCGTCTCGGGCGATCCTGATAAAAGCTTCCCGTCAAATATTTAAATATTTCCGCTTCTAATAACGACGCGGATTTGATAGAATTATTGTCAATTTCAGAATCCTATCTGTCGGAATTTAAAGAAAAATTACTATTCAGTATTTCTCGAATGAATCGGGATAACTTTGTTGGAATATCACCCAAAGTTGACGAAAAAGCTATTTTTTTCGTTGGGTTTTCGTAAAATGAATCGGGAGAATCTAATCCCAGAAAAGACAGCATACACTTTTAACCATTTTCCCTCAAGGCAAGGATTCCGAATGTCAGTTCAGCAGAAGGCCTGACGTTTCTTGATCTGCGTCACCAGGAAGTTTTTCGAGGCCTTGGGACAAACATTTTATCGTGTTTTTTTGTTTTTGTTTTTATCTGCCTGGAAGGTATCTAAAAATCATTCCTCTCTGCCAAGGACGTAATCCTGAATCCCCTGAGGGCATCTGGCGGGTTCAAAGGACGCGCAGAAATCAAGAATTCACGAGTTTTTAGGCCAGGAATTCTCCGAATTCATTCTGTTTTTTTTGCATTTCTGTTTCAATCTTAATACTTCAGTGAGGCAACATTGTTTTTCGTAGAATTTCGAAGGGAACTGACGCCCAGAAACTAATTGAGGAATTTCTGAGGTGGATTTATTCGATTTTGGTGATGCAAAGTGGGACGCCGAAATTTTGTTTCCTTTTGAAATTCGCTTCCTTATTGTTTTTACTGATTTTATTTTGAAGTGACGGTGCAATTGTTTTTTAAATGGGTTAAATTTGAACGCTGAAATTCAAAATCGATTTCACACACAGAGAAAAACTGCATCAGTAAAAAAAAATATCGAATTTAATTACACTTGAATTGAATGATGGAATTTCACTCAAATGATGGCGAAATTTAATCTGGACGAAATCTACGAAAAATATATACCCTCGAATATAATTTGGAAATAAGACCAAAGGTGATCGAAAAGCAAAATTATATCTCGCTAAAAAAATCTTCTTGAAAATCTATGTGAAACATATAAACACTTTGATACTTTTGCATTTGAAAAAAATGAAATAACACTGTTTCCGAAGGACAATCGCGTTTATGTTATGTGCCAAAATTTATTTTGTGAAGCATGTTTGGATTGGAAAATTTCTTAATTTATCGCAGTACTTTATTTTAAAAATAATGATTTTATCGAAGACTCCCGGATTTTCTCCCAAGTATTCTCAAAGATATCATATCATATACATTTCAACAGAAGAAGGTCAGAACATTGATGAGATTCCTCCAATTGTTTTTTTCTTCGGTGCAGAAAAGAATTTTTTTTTTATTTATTCAATTAGGAAAAAATGTGTGGCAATGCCGTGAGAAAAGAGAGTGTGAGAGAGTACTGGCCGTAAAAATCGCGACGATGTGGTTTTTTTCTTCTTTTTTTTTCTCTCTGGCAAAATGAATGATGCAACACATGGCGTGCTTGTGTTGCCTAGGTAACATTCCTTTGTGTCCACTGTATGCACATCCTTATATACTCACAGTGGTTCTTATGCTATAGAAAGCAGAAAGAAAATGGACTCTGTTCTTGTACCTTTTCCATTATTGACGTGCCGTGAACGTGTTCTTGTGAATGTGTTCTCTTGTTTTGTGTGTGTGTGTATGTGTGGATACTTTATCTCGAGGGACGACATTTTCGAGTGTCCCCTTTTTCTGTGTTGGAGATACATTTTGAAGGGATTGGGATTCAGATGAGGTGCAGTGTAAAGCCAAGCATGTGTATCAAGTGTCGGGTCTCGCTTCTGCTAATTGTAGAACAGTTGGTCTCTTTTTTTTTTTGTGGGTATATTCGTGCTGAAGATGTGATTTTGAAGATGATTTATTAGAAAATTCAGAAATGTTTTTCGAGTTGAGTTTGTTGAAAGGATGAGCTATATTTTATTTTTATGCATTATTTTATTACATATTTATTATTTATTTCATGTCATATCTTATTTTGCTTGTGTTGAAAATAAAGCCGATTTATTAGGAGTTAAATTTTTTTTTTGAGTTTATGGGCGTTGAAAGAAGCTAAATTTGGTTTCTATCTTTATTTTCTCCGTTATTTTATGTATTATTTTCTGCGTATATATTATTTGTGCTGGAAGATCAGATTTTGTAGACAATTTATTAGGAGTTGAAAAAAGTTTTTTGAGTTGAGTTTGTCTTGATGGGAGCTAGATTTGATTTGTATTTCTGAATACTGTATATCTCTTATTTTTTACATCTTATTTTGGGCGTATATATTCATTGTTGTCTGAATTAACCGCTTTTAATGTTTTTATGAATATACAACCTTCGATGTCTCCAACTGTCTTTATTTGCAGAACTTACTGTTGTATGTTCTAGAGCAATTAATCTGACAATTCCTTAGAGAGGAGATTTTCTTGTTCCTGTTGCTGGGTAGAATTCAACAACTCGTCAACTTCTTATATAAAGAGTAAGTGTACTTTATTTCAGTATTCCACAAAATGGACAATATATTTCAACAGTAGCAATGACCAAACAGCAATGAGCGCGTACAGCAATACAAACAGGTGCATTTATAGATCTTAACGGATAGAATTAGGCAACTGTGGTCAGACCCAGATCTGACCTTACTTTGGGGAGGGTTGCGTAACCCTTGGCATGTGACTTGGTGGCTGAGCAACTGCATGAAACGTTGTCTGCTAAGGTGCAATAACAGGGAACGTCAGAAAGTATTTGATGACATTGTGTTGAAGGTCTGATTTTGAAATCATTTTTTTTATTAGGAGTTCATAAGAGTTTTTAGAGTTGATTTTGTTGAAGGGGGCAAAATTTGATTTCTTTCTTAATTTAATGTACTTTCTATTATACTTTATTTTGTGGGTATGCTTGTGTTGAAGATCCGATTTCGAAGCCAATTTACTATAGGAGTTTTAATAAGTTTTTCGAGTTCAGTTTGTTATTGAAGGGATTTGATTTTAGCTCTTATTTTTTGGTATCCGTTATGCGAGGCTTTAATTAATTCTTGATTGCCCCTTCCCCCCCTTCCCCCCGAGGGGGAAAACTTGAAAAAAAAAATGCAATATTTGTTTGAGATTTCCAGGGAAATTTCTCGCGAAACGATGGCTTTCTCGACAACAAAAAATTTCAAGATGATGATGTTCTTTCCGACAGAACGAACTTTCGGGAAGAAATTTTTTTTCATTTTCTCTGCGTACAAATTTTAAAAATTATGGAGTAGGAAGTCCATTATTTAGTATGGTTTTTTAATTGTTTTTGTTGTTGTTGTTTTTCTTCACAGGAAGAACGGTGCTGCATTATTTTGCATGATGCCTGAGGACTTCATCTTCCGTCAGGTTAGAATTTTAATGGTTCTCTTCCCTTTTTATTCTTTTTTTTTCTGTGCATTTTTGAAAAGTTTTTGCGCGAACATCGTCGCGGGGGTTTTTTTTTCTCTCATCGTTGGAAAATGGATTGCATTTGAAACAAGTGAGACCAAAAACTCTTTTCACGGCGATTTTCCTGTTTTTTCTTTCGAGGTTTAAAATGGTTTCATGAAGTTGTGATTGCGCACAGAAAAGCGAACATGTATTCTAATCATTCTGAAAATCGGTGGGATAAAAGCATCAGTCATATTTTTTATTTCTATCAAATCTTTCTGTTGGTTTCTTGAGCTTTCTTTTCCTGTTCTTATTTTGGGTTATTTTTGACCCTGTGTACATTTTTTTCGTTGCTATTCTAGCACAAGGTGAAAGTACATATTGTATATTTATGTACAATATTTCAAGTGCATGAGTGGATTGAAAACTATTGACTGATTCCTTGTCAATAAAATATTTACTGCAATATTTTTTGCTTAAGTGTAGTCACCATATTTTTTGGTGGCATCAAATTTTGTGCACAATTTCGAGAGTACTTCTCGAAATATTTCCCAGATGTCGCTCTTCACGAGTTCCTTGTGTTTCCAAGAAACGGGTTATTTTATCCACAAACATTTTTTTTTCAACATTTCGTCCTGAAAATGTTTGCCGAAAGTTCATGAATGAATGAATGAATGAACAGAAAACTTTATTTGCCGCTTTTCAGCGTTCATTCTTTTTGGAAAATAAGTCAAAGGATTTTAGTTTGATTTTAAAAATTTATGATGGTTTATGACTTTGCAATTCGGAATTGAATAGGAACGATAAAGAATTCACTCAATTTTCTAAAACGTCTTTATAAAGTCTTTAAAATTCTTGTGAAATTTATTTTAAAATTTTTATCAATCTGTTAGCATTCAAGAACTGTATTTAATGTGCTGATGTGTTGGTTGGAAATCGCAGTAATGTTTCACGAATGAAAAATTTTCGCGCAATTTCTGGAATGAAGAAGGTGAAATTAATTTAAATTTTTTCACGGGGGTGAAAATATTTTTAAAAATGTGACTATATGAATTTTTCTGGCTGAAACGCTTTTCGTTTCTCAGCAGAAAACATTCATTTTTCGGTATCAATGGGATTGATTTTTATAACTGTGCCAATATAAGATATTATTCTTTCTGGTCTTCTTCTCCTTCAAGCTCTTTGACTCAGAGAGCTGCACATACACGTACTTGATAGCAGATGGCGCCAGTGGGCAAGCGGTGATAATCGATCCAGTCATACAGAAAGTTGACCGGGATTTGCAGCTGGTCGCTGACCTGGGATTGACCTTGATTTACGCTGGTTCGTGATTGAAAAACAAATTATAATAATTCATCATTGGCTCATTCCTCATAATCATTTTTGAAAAAAAAAAAACGCTGTATTTATTCCGTATATGAATAAGCCAATACCCACGTTCATGCTGACCACATCACGGGTTCGGGTAAAATGAAGACCAGGTTGCCTGGGTTGAAAAGTGTCCTCTCTGAAGCCAGTGGAGGAGACGCTGATTTGTTTCTAAATCACGGAGACGTTTTGAACGTTGGGAGCTTTGAAATTGAGGTTCGAGCGACACCTGGTCATACGAACGGTGAGCTTCTTGTTCTTGCTGCGCATGTGTACAGTACAGTATTGAAAAGGGAATGGAAACCATCTTTTTCGCACCTGTTTCACTGACATTAAGGAAAAAGGAGGACTGGTTTTTTGTTTTCCTTTTTGAATGCGGAATATGGTTTTTATTTATTTTTCAAGTAAGGTTTTTTTTTGGGGAGGGGGGAAATATTCTGCGAATTTCAAAGATTTTTTTAGAGCTTGTGGATTTTTTCCTGTTGGCTCCAGTTGGCATGGAAAAAAAAACAACTGAACTTCAACTGCAAAAATCCCAGCATTTTTGACGGTATATTAGCATGCTTGAAGATACTGAGTTTTTAGAATTCGTTTTTCAGAAAGAATTTCAAATTTTCCAACTTTACCAAGTCCACTATAAAGACTTTTTACTTAGTCACAATATATTTAATTGACCTTGTTGAACTTGCTAGAAACTTCTTGAATTTTCAGGAAAGCATTAAACAAAATTTTGAAGCATAAGTGCTGTAAATTATTTTATAACATTTGTTTTTTGTGCTACTCCTTCTATATGAAAATGTAGCTGTACAGTACTGTACACTGTATTTCCGACCAAAGCGACCTCTATTTTCTTATACTGTAAAATATTCTAAGCTCTAATTTTTCCTCCCATGTTTTTTAGATTACTCTTGGGGAACAGTGAAAAAAATATATTTCCCATTGCTTATTGCAATTAAGAAATAATTTCTCGGATTTATCCAAGTTTATTTTCGTGAAATTGATCCCTGAAGTGTAGAGTGCCTTCTTTCGCGACGGAAATAATTCAAAATTTTCCGGAAGACGTGACTGAAAGATGTTCTGAAAAATCAAAAAACCTCAGTGAGTGCCTGTGACTTATTGGAAAAGTATTCGCAAAAAAGTACAACTCAGTTTCTCGAATATTCTTCTCTTCAGAAACCCATAAATTCTAACTTTCGAACGAGAATTTCTGGGGAAAACAGCTAAAAATATATCCGTTTCTTTCTGTCGGAATTCTCGGGAAATTCCAATAAAGTCCTGAATGTAGCTGAACTTTTGTCGCAAGCCTCGCGTATAAACCTCATAATATTTGCACTTTGATAAAAGTGCAGTATATATGACCTTGTTTTCGGGAAGATCTTCTTTTTTATTTTTTATTTTGGCACAAGGCCCCCATTCAATCCTGGGCCAGCGGCTGAAGAAATTGAATACCGTATCCCGTTGCATTCAGGTTGCGTGACTTACGTGGTCCACCAGCAGCGTCTGGCACTCACTGGTGATGCCCTGCTGGTGAGAGGCTGTGGAAGAACGGACTTCCAGCAAGGGAACAGTGCCAGGCTTTACCAGTCTGTCCATGAGCAGATTTTCTCGCTGCCTGATGATTTTAAGCTGTTTCCCGCTCATGACTACAAAGGTAAAAAAAAATTTAATAAAAAGAGCCCACGCATTTTCACAGGCTTTGAATTTAAAATTGAGAAATAAAAACCCCCACCACAAAATGTGAGTATTTTGCGGTGGGGGAGAGGGGGGGGTTATGTTAATTAGCGAATTTTGTGCAACATTTATCATGCAAATAATTGGGAATTCCCGAATCAAAATATTGTATATTCAAGTAAAAAAAAAATAGAATTTATTTTCAAGGGCTTTTTATAGTCATTCACTTGTTGAATATTGATTTGTTCCTTTAAAAAATAAACTTTTATAACGTTTTGAATTTTTTCAAAATTTGAATATTTTAAGAGGGTTAATTTGCAGATTTTTTTTATATGCGGATCTTTGCTGTGGAGTCTTGATTGGTTTCTGAAAAACATGTAAAAGAAAACATTTCTGCAAGAAGCTCATTATATATGACGGTCGAAATATGAGAAGATACTCTATATTTATATATATATATATATACAGTATATAGATGTATGTATGTTTAAAAGACTTGAACTGAATACTTTATATTTAGAAATAAAAATTAATCATGGTTTTTTGGAAATTCGATTCAGAAAAATTTGTTTGAGGGCTAAAGTTCCAGACACTTGTCAAAATTTATTAATCTCACACTCTCTTCTGTCATTCAAGAGAGTATGTTAGTTTCAAAAACTCTGATTGAAAAAAATGATATATTAGGTGTCTCTCATCTGACAGTAGTTTAGGTGAAGTTCCTTTTTTGAAACTTTCGTTTGAAGTCAATTGCAGCGAAAAAGTATCAAACGAAGTTTTATGGATTCAATGCCAAAAATTCATTGTCGGGGTGGTTTTCAGCAGAGAAACATCTCAATTATTTCAAGTACTGAATTTTGCGCAAAATTTTTCATGCAAATAATTGGGAATGCCCGAATGTGAACATTTCATTTTAATACGAAAATTTAGAATTTATTTTCCAGCGGATAATTTTGTTCGTGATGCCAGTGACATCTATATGCAATGGGATTCTCCAATTTGAAATTTTATTTTATTTAAATTTTGCAATTTAACATTTGTTTTTCGTGGAATAATTCTGCTTGTGATGCAAGTGACATCTACGCAACGTGTTTCTCCACTGTGAATCTTTTATTTTAATTTTGTAATTTAGCAAAACTTTTTCTTGGGAAACAATTTATCTTGGGATGCCAGTGACATCTACGTGAAGTAAGCAATCTGGAAAGGCTCGTTTTGAGGGTTTCATTGTGTGAATTTTTCTCAGAATTCATCATTCAAAATACTGTATAAATAAGTGCGCATAATTGAATGTAAAATTCCTTGTGATTCAGGGTTCACAGTTACTACGGTGAAAGAGGAAAAAACGTTGAATCCGAGATTGTCCAAGTCTGAGGAAGAGTTTGTTGCAATCATGGCTGGCCTTAATTTACCCTATCCTAAAATGATTGGTAAGTGTTGTTCATTAGAATTAAAAAAATTTAACTGTACTAGAAACTTTTACTTCACTCTTGATCTTACAGATGCTGCTCTTCCTGCCAACTTGAAGTGTGGCCTGCAAAATCTTCCGGAAGAGTTGGAATTTGACGAGTGATTGATGGAATATTTCAATCGGATTTTATTTCTTTCGAATTCGAGGCAGAACTCCTTTCTAGGAACGATTTTTCTGCAACAAAACACTTTCTTGGGTTTGGGTTTTTGTCACCCTCTCACGTATTCAAAAATGTATGTAGAAAACTGATGCCCTATAAAGCTCGTGTTTTCGTCTCTCAAAAAAGTGCTTTACATTCCCATGTCAATTTTTCTGCGTGTGACAAATAAATGCGCGAAAACGAACATAAGTGAATTTTTTTTGTAATTTTCTGAGGGAGAATTAATTTCAGCACAATATTCTTAGACTGGGTGTGAATTGAATAGATTGAAATTGTTGTGATTTCACAAGCAGTAAAAAACATAAGAAAGGGGACTGTTTTATAATTGTTCAGGGGAGTGAATTATTTTTTGCACTACTGTATATGCCAAAATTTTTGAAAAAACACGTTTCTAAAAATGTTTTTAAAAATCTGAAGCTCGAGTTTTCGTCTTTCGAAACAGGGCTTCATATTTTTCTGTCTGTTTTTTGCGAGTGAAAAAAATACCGAGTACTTCGTTGCTGAGCAAGAAAACATTTTTTTTTCAAGTACTGTGCACCAATTATCGTTGAAAAGTTCCTGCTGAAATCGATGGCGAAAATCCAATTAACCTTGATGATCATTGCAAATCGATGCCTCAGACCTGTTGAACTGTGTTGCGTCAACGTTTTGGACTCTTTCGTTTCAAAATTCCTGTAACAAGTGGAGATTCGAAAAAATAAGTAAATAAATTCCAGCATAAAGATTTCAAATATCTATTTTCGTCTGTTCAGAATGAGGAACCCCAGGGAAAATTCAAAAGAAGAGAAGTCGTGGTAACTGCTAAAAATAATAATAAACAGCAAAATTTCATCAGTGGAACAAAAACTTGCAGCTGCTTCCTGGGGTAACATTTCCTCGGGGTTTCTTAGCGTCCGAAAGAAGAGCTTCCAAAACTGAAAAAAATCAAATATTTTCAAATTTCCAGTTTCTTTCTGCATAAACAGTAATTTTAGTCTTACCCGTGTCCGTAGCCGAAACCATGTCCATGTCCATATCCATATTTATGTCCATACCCGTGTTTTCCATGGCCGTAACCATGACCAAACCTTTCGAAAAGATAATGAAAAATTAATTTAAAATTCAGAATAAAATTTAAAAGCTATGTCCAATAAATTCTGGGGCTAATTTTGAATTTTTAGAATGTTTTCTGGGATTTAGTGGTGAATATTTCGTCATGCCAAAGATCAGAAGTGATTATCATTTGTTTGAAACATTATGATTTATCGAGGCTCTGGAGTCAGATCATAAATCTAGCAAATAATGTATAAATTTGATTTTTTTTTTAATATCCCCCCTGGGCTTACTTTTTGGCAGTTAATGTTACTAGTAATATCTCACTCTCAGAGTACCTCACAGATATTCCTAAATTCTTTTGAGAAAGCTGCTGAAAATTCAAACAGTACAAGTTTCAGCTGTAAGAATTTTATATTAATACCGTTTGTAAGTAATAATAGAGTGGAAGGTATTGGTTTCGCAGGTATAGGAGGTATCGGTGGTGACGACCTCGACGACTTTGACAACTTTTATTGGTTATTCAAATTTATTATTTAGGAGGGTTTTCCTTTTTGTATTTTTTGCAAGACTTGATGATTCTTGTATGCAGGGTTTAATGTGAACTTAATTTGACGTTTTATCTACTTTCTGAACTCATATGGTATGAAATCTTAGTGTGAAGTTTTATGTAAGATGTTATCAGCAATGGTATTGTGTGTGATATGACCTTGTTCAAGTGAATGAGAAGTCAAAAATGCTTTAATCTCATGTCAAACTCGAATTTGAATGTATTAAATGTAGATTTTTTAGAAATTTCTTCAGCATGTGATGCTAGTGACATCTACATCATGAATTTACTTGTGTCTGGGGAGACCATCCAAAGAGTAAAGTTGTATATAAGGATGTGTGGAAACATTGTTTGAACCTTGTGAATTCTGAAAAGTGGAAAATACATCAGTTTGTTTATCAATTGAAAAATTAAATGAAAGGCCAAGTACTTAACTTGTTGAACTTAAATACTTTAATTTTTGAAATTTAGCATATTTATTTTAGTGAATAATTCAGCATGTGATGCCTTTGATATGCTTCAAATTAGAAAAATTAATGAAAATGCAACCTTTTTTCAAACTTGAATTTAGTTTTTGAAATGTAGCATATTTATTTTAGTAAATAATTGAACATGTGATGCCAGTGATATTTTGCAAATTGGAAAAATGAATTGAAATTCAAGCACCTTAACCTGTTTTCAAACTTGAATTTAATTTCTGAAATTTATCTTATATTCTAGCAAGTAATTCAACATGTGATGCCAGTGATATTCTTCAAATTATAAAAATGAATGAAAATGAGAGTATACCTTAACTTGTTTTCAAACTTGAATTTAATTGCTGAAATTTATCATATATATTTTAGCAAGTAATTCAACCTGTGATGCCATCAGTGACATCTACTGCAAGTCTAAAGTTTCTTTGGGGGGGGGGGGAAGTACCGTCTCGACACACTCACACGCATATGTGCTGTACTGCTGTATATACGAACACATTGAACCATCCATTTATTCATTCCTCCCTCGATGCTTTCTTTACTTCCGGTGCGTGAGAAAAGACGAAAGAAAAAGTGCGTCGGGAAACATTTGGGTTAATTAGCCTGGAGACACGTTAATCGAACCTCATACTTATTGTGTATAGTTGTACAACATTTCTTTAGTTTTTTCCCATTCCTTTTTTCTTGTCCTAATACTGTACGAGTATAAGCAGGATATATATATATATTAAGGACCTTTTGATTTGTGTCGTGCTGATGCCTATTTATAGTACTGTAGAGTAGTAGTTTGGACAATGCTGTGGGGGTCGGTCAGCATCAGACGCGAGGAGGGATTGACTAGAGAGATACAATAATGGCATCCCCCGTTTTTTGTTACTTTTAATTTCGGGAGTGATTTTTACACGCAACCTCGGGTTTTTTGGTATTCATGAGCTATGCCGACCTTGGCTGTCGTTTCAATCAAAGGCCCCGTGCGTGAATATCTTGGGAACAATCACGCCTCCGAGGCTGCTGCTGCTGCTGCTCTCACTTTTATTCCATGTATTTATTTATTCCTTCATTCATTCATCAAAAATCTATCTCTTTTTTCTTTCATTCTTCGTTTTTGCGAATGCCTCAAGATTCTGGCGTATTCCGATTTCCCCTTTTCTTTTTTTTTCTTTTTTCTTTTCTTTTTTTTTTTTTGCTGCAACATCGTGACTCGGTTGAAGTCGGTAATCAGCCTGCGTATAAAGGAGTACGCCGCAAGCACCGGGGTGTCCGTTGAAGCTGCAGGGATTTTCACCTTGGCTCTGATTCCGGAAGGAAAAAAAAAGGGAGAAAAGAATTGAGAGAGAGAGATCCAACCCTGACGCTTTTTCATCCTAATCGGCGTCAAGAGTTGAAGACGGAGGAGAAGGGAGAAAAAAAGTTGGGTTCTTTGATTTTTTGTTGGAGGGGAGCTGCGAATTTGTCTGGTTAGCTAGCTTTCGAGATGATCCCTTGTTGTGGGTGCCACCGGACGTTTTTTCGCGAATTTATCAACGCAATCACGTGGCTTTTGTCATGGGTGGAAAAAAAAAAGGCTCGGGATGTACCATTTATCTTGGGGCAGAAAAAAGGGAAGAAAACAATGAGAGAAAAAAGAGCCAGAGTTCATTTAGTTGAGCACATATAGTACGTATTATACATGGAAAATCAACCGACGACGAATGACTTACGTGGTTTTCGCTCAAAAAGTGAAAGGGAATTAATATTCGATCATTTTTTTCCTCGCTGTATTTCTGACAGTTTTGTCGAACCTGCTCATTGAATTGAAGATCTTTGGGTATATTCGAGTTTCTATATGGACAATAATGAGCATAATACGAGAAACAGGAATTGACGCAAGTTTTTCTCCGCTATTGTCGGGCTTCACTTGCAACCCTGACTTTGACTAATGCATCATTGAACTACTGTCTCATCCTCCTTTTTTTTTTTCAACCTCATCAACTCACGTACTGATGAGAAAGAGGGTATTTTGCTAACTTTCCCGATGATGATGGTTTAAAAAAAAATTGGTATAGCCCTCTCGATGGGCGAATAGAGTGCGTATATCTATCGTCATCCTCAAAGTAATTTTCAGATTGAAAGGGCCCACTTTTTACGTATAAGAGGCTTCTGGAAAAGCGACATGTGTAATTTCCTTCCACCATTTGAGCATTTCTGGAAAAAGTGAGATCCGATTGAAATAAGCGAGGAAACTCACCGTTCCCGCAACACGTACCCAGCAGAGGATCCTCTCGGCGGTCAAATAAGCCAAGTTTGAAGAGCAGTAGTGCCGAAGATTTTTAGCGTGCCAGAATTGGCAATGAGCGACGTTTTGCGAAAAACGCAAGTTGGTTGTTTGACTTATTGGAAGGAGGATGATGGGCATGAAAGTCTGGTTTCGTCGTTGGAAATAACGTGAGCATTCGGAACAAGTTGAGAGAGAGAGAGAAATGCCCACTGATGCTGGTTGATTGTCCGCCTGTTAAGGCTCGAAAGCTCTCACCTGTCGTCGTCGTCATCAATCACGACACCCCGAAACACCCGCGTCCAACAGGATGCCCGCGGATAATCCCTTGACAAATGAACGCGAGCAACGCATTCAGAACACCAAGTATCCCAGCGTAGAGCAAGGGGAGAGAGAGAGAGATAAAAAAAAAAAGCTAAGGAAAATAGAAGAAGAAAAAAATAAATAGCGGACAAAAATGACACCGATGAGATGAGCCATCGTGAAAGAAGTGGATGTATCACCAGCATGAGCAGTTGGAAACATGTCTCTTTTGTTTGTTTGTCGCTCGTGTATAGCGCGGAAATCGCCACATTCCGAGATATTGTACGTTGGATCCGGCGCATCATCAAATAAAGACGCAGAAATGTGTTGGCTCAACTGTTAACTGCTAATTAATCGTGAACCTCCTGTGCTATACACTGACTATTATGTCGATTTATGGCAATGTAAATGTAGCACTTGTGTTGAATGTAACACAAGTACTATACAGTATACTGTGAATATACAGAAATAGCCGTTTGAATAGTTCATGAGTAAGCAAGCAAGAACCTGACCCTTTGGGACATTTTTTGTAAGCTGGAAACTCCTACTTGCGATGGGTAGGAAGTTGTCGGCA